GAAATATACTAACATTTAAAAAATTACCACCAACACATGAAATATAGAATTTACAACTACCAAACTTAAAAGTAAATTTTTTTAAAAACTCTTTCAAAATTTTAAAAATTACAAATCACACCCTCAATTCTTAAAAATCAGTAAGTATTCATAAATTCCATACTTTGTTCTTCAAATTAAATATTAATGTTATAATCTAAGAGAAATTGGTAATGAATAATGCAGGTATTTAGTTTAGATCTTTATGGAAAATGAGGGATAGAGAGCAAAGGTAATATTATTGAAATAACAGAAATTCTTATTGGATGCACATCAGAAGAATTCATTTTAGAGGAAAATAAAGAGATAGCTTCTAATTTATTTAAGTAATAAATTAAGAATACAAAGAATTTTATATATATGAAATTAATATTTATTCTCATTGAAATAGAAAAAAAACCAAAGTCTATATTTTGAGCAGTTTGTGTTGAACATCATAAGTACATTTGACTTCTTTGTAAAGTTAAATGAGATGATAAAAAATTAACGAGCCTAGGAAAGATAATAGCATAAAAATACAAAATTAGCCTGATGTCACAATTGATGTAGATGATGAAGACAATACTCTAGAATTGTCCGAGAAATGATAAATGATAAACCTGAAGAAGGATTGATCTTAACTCAATAAAAAATAAAATAGAAGAATTAAAAATAATATTTTATGAATATTTTATAGAATAGTTTAATTATTTTGAGTGAAATTAGGAATTTTTAGAAAGGAGTTTCAAGAATTTTTTCAGTACTTTTATATTCTTATGTGGATGTTTTTATCATATAAAAGTATACTAGAATTAGCATTAATCTTTAATTTATATTTTTTATGAAGTCTATCAATGATTAGGAATAAACTTCATATTCTCTTTTGCATCGTTTTAACATACTTTAAATAAATCATTTTGCCATATTGGTTTTAAATATTCACCTTCCTTGTATAACACTATTTTAATATTTTTTACTTTACAATGTTATACTTTCTCAAATAAAGCTTAGTTTCATATCGGTCAAAAATAATATGAAAATTCAAATTATTTTTATATTATATTTGTTTTTTATCAATTCAAATATCAACATGAAAATTTAAATTGGGTGTATCCCATTTAAACAAACATAAAAAAATAATCGGGATGTAAGAGTTTAAAGAAAAAAGTGAGCACAAACTGCCAAAAATACTTAATCATGGTATTAAATCACGTGCATTGCACGTGTGTAAAAACTATTTAATTAAATGGGTGGGTTTTGGACGGGCAAATAATGGGTGGGCCAGATGGGTAAATGGGTATGGGCATAAATTGACATCTAAACGATTATGTGAATTTAACCCATTCTAGAAACATGGCTCTCAAACAGGAAGCTTCAATTAAATATACGACTTGCACTCTGGGGCACACCGTGTGTGCATGAAAAAAAAAGTGTGAGGACATTTTGAAATGACTTTTGTGTGAGGGTGGCGGCATTTGTGTTGATTATGTAAGTGTTTGGCATTTTAGTCATCTCTTGCAAATGTGAATGTGTTTCTTTTGAATTTTTTGTAGTGTAAGGGTATGTTTTTAAAATTTTGAAATAATTAAATTTGACGTTAATAATATTTATAGGGTAAAAGAATACAAGGAATTACATATGGAGAAACTATTAGAATATTTAGGGATAACTTTAAAAGAATAGAGTTATTTTCATTGCAAATGGGAAAGTGATGGAAATAAATCTAAAATTCAGAAAACGTCAATGAATCACTTGAATTGGCATTAACATAAGACATATCTATTAATGAAGCACTGAATGAGTTACATTAAAAGATAATTTAATAACTTTATCCTAATCAAAGAAAAAATATTAATGAAGCACTGAATGAGTTACATTAAAAGATAATTTAATAACTTTATCCTAATCAAAGAAAAAATCTCCATGGAAGACATTAGTTTGTTAAGATAAAGAAATTACAAGTAGATAACATATCATAATACATGAAGTATTGTAAAAAACCATAAAAAGTTTTAAAATTGCAGGAAAAACCCTGAAAAGTTCAAAATTATAAAAATCATCCCAATGTCTCAAAACTTAAAATAAAAAATATGAAATTAAAAAATTAACATCAGTTTGCAAAGAATTTAAAATTTACAGTTAACACCTCAATGTCTCAAAAATTATAGAAACACCCTCAAAAGTTTAAATTACAGACAAGCACATTAAAATTCTAAAATTTTAAAACTTACAAACAACACAGATGAATTCAAGAGATTACCATGATACACCTAAAAATTTTGACATTTAAATTTAAAATTTTTAATTAACACCCTCAATATCTCAAAAATTATAGAAATACCTTCACACCTTCAAAAGTTCAAATTATAAAAAGCCACCCTAAAATTCTAAAATTTGTAAATAACATAAGATGAATTCAAGATATTACCCTTAGACACCTAAAAAATTAAAATTTGCCCAAATTAACCTCAAAATTAAAAAAAACTCCTTCAAAATTTAAAAATCGTAAAACAAACTCTAAATTTTCAAAATTTTTAACTAGCACACATCAAATTCATCGATTAGTAGACCGTTAAAATTTAATATTTTTTAAAATTAATCTATAGTTTTAATAATTGTAAAAGACACCCTCTAAATTTTAGTATATATATATATATATATATATATATATATATATATATATATATATATATATATATATATATATATATATATATATATATATATATATATATATATATATATATATATATATATATATATATATATATATATTAAAATTTCTAATTTAGGGATTTACTATCCATTTTCAGCATCTAAGAATAGTCTAAGTTGATACTGGTAAACAAAAACAATAAAAATTGATTAAAACATCCGGTTAATGGATAAAAATTTTAAAAATATTATAGATTAAAATTTATCGGCACTATATAAATTAAAATAATTTTATATAATTTTAGTAATAAGTTAGGGTAGCAAAAATACATTCGTAACATTAATTGATAGATGTTTAAATCCATAGAAATGATAAAACACTATAATATTATACCTTAGCATTAATTGATTTTAATTTAGAAACTTTAATCTTTGACGTTAATAATATTTATAGGGTAAAAGAATACAAGGAATTATATATAGAGAAACTATTAGAATATTTAGAGATAACTTTAAAAGAATTGAGTTATTTCCATTGCAAATGGGAAAGTGATGGAAATAAATCTAAAATTCAGAAAACGTCAATGAATCACTTGAATTGACATTAACATAAGACATATCTATCAATGAAGCACTGAATGAGTTACATTAAAAATAATTTAATAACGTTATCCTAATCAAAGAAAAAACCTCCATGGAAGACATAAGAAAAATTAGTAAGTATTCATAAATTCCATACTGTGTTATTCAAATTAAATATTAATATTATAATCGAAGAGAAATTGGTAATGAATAATGCAGGTATTTAGTTTAGATCTTTATGGAAAATGACAGGGATAGAGCAAAGGTAATATTATTGAAATAACAGAAATTCTTATTGGATGCACATCAAAAGAATTCATTTTAGAGGAAAATAAAGAGATAGCTTCTAATTTATTTAAGTAATAAATTAGGAACACAAAGAATTTTATATATATGAAATTAATATTTATTCTCATTGAAATAGAAAAAAAATCAAAGTCTATATTTTGAGCAGTTTGTGTTGAACATCATAAGTATATTTGACTTCTTTGTGAAGTTAAATGAGATGATAAAAAATTAACGAGCCCATGAAAGATAATAGCATAAAAAAATACAAAATTAGCCTGATGTCACAATTAATGTAGATGATGAAGACAATACTCTAGAATTGCCCAAGAAATGATAAATGATAAACCTGAAGAAGGATTGATCTTAACTCAATAAAAAATAAAATAGAAGAAATAAAAAAAATATTTTCTGAATATTTTATAAAATAGTTTAATTATTTTGAGTGAAATTAGGAATCTTTAGAAGGGAGTTTCATGAATTTTTTCAGTACTTTTATATTCTTATGTGGATGTTTTTATCATATAAAAGTATACTAGAGTTAGCATTAATCTTTAATTTATATTTTTTTATGAAGTCTATCAATGATTAGGAATAAACTTCATATTCTCTTTTGCATCGTTTTAACATACTTTAAATCAATCATTTTGCCATATTGGTTTAAATATTCACATTCCTTGTATAACACTATTTTAATATTTTTTACTTTACAATGCTATACTTTCTCAAATAAAGCTTAGTTTCATATCGGTCAAAAATAATATGAAAATTCAAATTATTTTTAAATTATATTTGTTTTTTGTCAATTCAAATATCAACATGAAAATTTAAATTGGGTGTATCCTATTTAAATAAACATAAAAAAATAATTGGGATGTAAGAGTTTAAAGAAAAAAATGAGCACAAACTGCCAAAAATACTTAATCATAGTATTAAATCACGTGCATTGCACGTGTGTAAAAACTAGTCATTAAAAAAAAGTGAGTTGCATAGTGCATTAGTTGCAGAGAAGAAACAAAAGAGAGAAAGCTAAGATTTCTGAGGATTTTTAGATGAGATAGAAAGAGGGTTTCTAGCGGTTTGCTTGAGAAATGCAAGAAAGATGAAATCTTTGTAATCTCTGGGAATAAAGAAGACTCAAATCTCTTCTCCTGGATGTAAGCAACTGTCGAACCACATAAATTTTATGTCTTTGCATCTGATTGCTTTTCTACATAATTGTTAGTTTTCGATTTGTTCGAATATTGTTCTTGGTGTTTCCCTGTTGCCGAGGTGATTGATTGCCCTAGTAAGACGACGAAGATTTTGTTGGGAGATACGAGATAGTTTCCGTGATGATCGCCAATCCTCAAGAATTGGTATCGGGGACGAATGTTTCCAACAATTGGTATCAGAGACGATTGTGTCAACATAGTGCAGGTAGAAACCTTTGAAAAATAAAACTATGTCTACAAACTTACCAAATCAACGTTTGGGATATCAAGACCACGCGCAGCAACATCAGTGGCAACAAGTACAGTGAACTTCCCTTGACGAAAACCATTCAGTGTTCTTTCTCTTTGATGTTGAGATATATCCCCATGCAAAGCCTCAGCGGCTATACTGTTGGTCAAGGCCATAGATACTTCATCAGCATCTCTTTTTGTCTGTGTGAATACAATGGTCTTTCCTCCCTTTGCATACACCTAAAATAGTAATTGGTCTTCTCAATAACAAACCAAGAAAATGAAAAACTTTCAATAATAACAATAAACTCGCATATGCAAACCATGCAATAAAAGTTGCAGACAGCAACAAGAGATGATAGGAGAAAAATGAGCTAAGTGAAGAAATTGCCAGAATCAAATGAAATGAGAAAAGTAACAATATCTAATACTACACCATCAAAATAAACAAAATTAGATACATGAAGACAATAAAAAACTAGCTAAAGTACAGAACTATGGGAAAAAAGTGCAAGAAGAAAGGATTTTGATGCATATTAGAACTCAAGCAACATACATTCAATAAATCCCATTAAGTATTGTCCCAATTCAAAGAGCAAGGAATTCATATAAATCTTATAATCACACTACTCTAGTACTTAAAACTGGCTTGCTAGAATATCAAAATAAATTCATGCGAGACATCAAGATAGTGACGTTTAGGAGAAGTATCGTTGTACCAGTCACTTAGAAGTTCAAAAGCCGGCATGACATTGCAGTTGATGATATGCATAAAGTTTAATTGTATTATCAAATGAGAAAAATAGGTCTTTCCAACATACCGTAATTAGGTCACTGAGCATAGTACGCTTTGACGTTGCAGTTGATGATATTGCATAAAGTTTAATTCCTTCTGCTAATTTTTCATCCTGATCACCAACCTACATAACAATTGAGAGTATGAAGTGAATTGAAGATACTTGACACCGCAAAAAGTCAAGACGATATTTTAAAAAGAAGATATTCTACATGTGTATGCACAACAATAAGAGCAGATATAGCCAATATAACTAAGAACTCTAATAGTGAAGTCCGAGGATGAATCTGTGTGAAGCTTCAGTTTTTTTTTCTTCAAAGTTTTCAATCTAATTGTTTGCATCTAGTCAATAAACAGCACGTACTTATAAAGGAGTCACAGAAGCTGTCGCATTTACACAAAAATGCTCACTTTTTTTGTCACTAGCCTAGAGTCAGACCGGTATCTGCTAAACTTGAAGTGAATAGCTTGAAGAAACTGGTTTACACCTTACTATGGAAAGCTTAAATTGCATTATCATTGAGTATGTTCAGAGAATTGTTGTGCTCCATATGCATGAATCAGTAAATTAACCCAACATCATAAAGTACGTGTAGAGATGAGAGAGCTACCAAATCTATTGTCAGAGGATTGTCGAGGTACTTCCGAGCCAATTTCTTCACCCAAGCAGGCATTGTAGCGGAAAAAAGCATGCTTTGACGTTTTGATGGAAGCTTTTCCAAAATAACCTCCACATCTTCTTCAAAACCAACAGCAAGCATCTGATCTGCTTCATCAAGAACCAAGTACTGAACCTCTCCTAGCTGAAGACTATTGCTATTAACCAGATCAATGATCCGTCCGGGAGTCCCAACCACCACATCAACACCACGAGAAAGCGCATTTTGCTGGACATTGTAAGAAACACCTCCATATACACATACAGTACTAAAATAAGGTGCAGATTCCTTGATTTCTTTTTCCACTTGCTTAGCCAACTCTCTTGTGGGTGCTAGAACAAGAACCCTAGGAAGACGGCCAGACCGCCTAACCGAAGTAAACAAGCAGTGGTTAAACTAAAGTGCGCATCTCCAGATACAGTACATTGTCCTTCATCTTCCTCAGTAAGTCGCTTAAGGATGGGAATTCCAAAGGCCAAAGTCTTACCGGTTCCGGTCTTTGCCCGAGCAATGAGGTCTCGTCCTTCCAAAGCAGGAACTAACACAGCCCTCTGAAAAGAAAACAACGCACATTGCAATTACGACGGAAAGTAGATATCTATGATAATTGATAGTGGCATTACAGGCTGCATTCGACAAATAGCAAAGAACCAGAGCAGCAACTATGATAAGGGGGCCAATGCGTCAGCAAAGCTTGGAAGTAAGCAAAGTAGTAATTGAAAGAAGAAGAAAAAATTCTACATAGTTATTCACAAAGTACGGACTTTTAGAGTTTCATCATGTCAAAGTGGTATGTTGAAGATATTAGTGTGATTTTTTTTATTTTTTTATTTTTGAAAAGAAAGAACAGTTCCAACCAAACAAATTGAAGGGAGAGCAAAAATGCTGGCTGGGTGGGGGGGCTAAGAAATGGTACCTGGATGGGGAAGAGACGAGCAATTCCCCTTTTGAGCAAGGAATCCACAAGCTTCTGAGGGAGGCCGAGGTTAGGAATGGCGAGCTCGTCCTTCTCTGCTTCCTCCTCGTCATCGGAGAGGTAATCATCGCCGGTGGTCCCCACCTCTTCTTCCTCTTCATCTTCCTCCTCCAATTGAAGGGAGGGTGCGGAGCTGGCGCTGTCCAAGCCACCAAGACCCTTGAACGCTTCCTCGCTGAGGACAGAGTTGGGCGTCGCTATGGCCGACAGAGGCAGCCGGCCCCGGCTGGAGCTCCTCTGAAGGAGGAGAAGAGGGACCTTATCCTTGTTTCTCGTGGTGGCGTAAATGGAAGCAGCAGCAGCAGCAGCAGCAGCGGAAGAAGAAGAAGAAGAAGAATGGGGTTTTTTGTGGAAAAAGGGAAAAGAGAGGGTCTGGTACAAGGAGGCCATGGACACCAATGTAATTCCAAATTCAGTGAATTTGAATGAGGAAGCAAGATCTCTACAAGCTCCTCCTCCTCCTCCTCCTTCAAGTCTTTGAAGACGATGAAGAAAGGAATGTGAATTTGGAGATAAGGCTCGCCTCCTCTCCAACCTCCTTCTCCGCGCAGTATTTATAGATAGAATAAAATATTGAAGATGATACGTCAAGAGGGTTTTAGGTCAGGGGTTTTGCCTACGTATCCCCAAATCTTCCTATTCGTCTGTTTGGATTAGTTTTTTTTTTGGTAAAAGAGGGGAAAGCCGCCAAAAATGTCAGCTTTTTGGCAGCTTTCCACCAAAATCTGCTTTTTAAGAGCTGATTTTGGGAGAAAGCTGTCTAAAAGCTGACATTTTTGACAGCTTTCTCCTCTTTTACCACCTAAAAAACATGAACCAAACAGCCCCTAAGGGGCTATTTGGTTCTTATTTTTTTATTCCTTTTTTTTTTGGGTGGTAAAAGTGGGGAAGCTGTCAAAAATGGCAGCTTTTTGACAGCTTTCCCCCAAAATCACCTTTTTAAGAGGTGATTTTGGGGGAAAGCTGTCAAAAGCTTTTGACAGCTTTCTCCTCTTTTACCACCTAAAAAACATGAACCAAACAGCCCCTAAGGGGCTATTTGGTTCTTATTTTTTTATTCCTTTTTTTTTTGGGTGGTAAAAGTGGGGAAGCTGTCAAAAATGGCAGCTTTTTGACAGCTTTCCCCCAAAATCACCTTTTTAAGAGGTGATTTTGGGGGAAAGCTGTAAAAAGCTGACATTTTTGACAGCTTTCCACTCTTTTACCACCAAAAAAACTTTTTAAGATGTGATTTTGGGGGAAAGCTGTCAAAAGCTGACATTTTTGACAGCTTTCCACTCTTTTACCACCAAAAAAACCTATTCAAACAGCCCCTAATTTACCCCTTTCTGTCTTTTAACCTGTTGTATACAGAACCACCGTAGAATTAATAGTCGTTCTTTAGGAAACCTTCACGAAGTTTTTTTTTTAGCATTCATAAAATTATCATGATAATATATACTGCCAACGGACTCCAACGAAGTCATAAATTTCATCCATATTCTCCTAGTGGGATATTGGTTGGTGTAATTTTTGGGTAAGTAAGATAATTTTTGAGACTTTATATTATGGTGTTATTCATTAGGATAATGGGATTGAGATTTTACTTTAAGGTGTTGTTCATTGGGATAATCACATTGAGACAATTAACCCCACTTTTCCCAAAATTATCTCACTTCTATACAAACATTTTGTCCCAACCTCCAAAATTTCCGCTTTCTTAACTATAGGACAATCATTAGGAAAATGAGATAATTTTGAAGCACTAATTTACTAAATATATAATATATATTAATTATATTATAATATATTTTTATTATATTATATTATAAAATTCTATTATAACGTAAGATAAAGTATAGTATTTTTATGATATAAAATATAGTATTATAGTATAGTGTTTATATATTTAATATAATAATATATTAATTATATTATAATATAATTCATTATATAATAATTTACTATTTTCTATTATACTTTACTATATTAATGAATAGTCTTAAATGTATTATCAATATTTTGGTAGTTATAATATTAAATAATATTTTAGTACTATAATAAAAATTATAATAAATTACTCTATGTTATGGTAATTTACCATCCAAAGATAGAGATGTCGGGAGAATGTATGCATAAGCCCAAGAAAGCTACGGTCCAAACCAACTTAGAGGCTCAAAAGCCCAGCCAAGGTCAAGTCTCTCGACCAGACGAGCAGACAAGTCATATTTCGATCAAGGGTCATCATGACCGACTCGAAGTGCGGGATCAGTCGCCCCCTCGCAATTAAGACGACTCCTCGAGTAGACGACTTGACTATACACCCGACCTGAACCTCACTCGACTATCGGGTCGCCAAATCATAATGATAGCTCGCAAATCAACCCGCCTCGACTAAAGGGATAAGAGTCGACCAAATTCACTTCAGATGTCAATCGACAACAGTATTGATTAGTCCCATCAAGATCTCCATTCTGACAAATCTCGGGCCCAAGACGCTTATTCTGCTTACAAATCATTTCCCAGAAGATTGCCATGATGCTTCCCTGTGCACGAACGACTTCTCCTCCAATCGCCAACCGCCACCCGGAGAGAGAAGGTCGGCCACGCAACCGACCTATCCTACGCCCTATATCTTCTATCAAATCCAGGATACAGAGAAGCTGTTTCTCTCCTATACTCGAATGACTTCCCTTTCAAATCGTCAATCGACATCTGGAAGGAGAATGATGACTCAGCACCTCTACTGTTCACCTCTCAGCCGCCTCCTATGTATAGCCAAAGCCGAGGGACAACACACTCAGAGGCAAGGCACTATAAAAAGGAGGAGAACATAGGGATGTAGGGGGTAAGTGATATTTGCTTGGCTACTTCTTCTTCATAAAAAACAAGCAACCTACCTTGGTTAAAAAAGAACTAGAAAACTCTCAAAAGAGTACGCTCCGAGGACCTCAATGGCCCAAGGACCTTCCCCCAAACCCCACTCAAGCTCCACAGCTGACTTGACCGTCAGAGGAACCACAGAGGAAACTAGCCCCGTACTCCTACGATTCTTGCATGTGCAGGTCATCAGCCCACCCGCACGCTCAGAATCGGGCGTAAAGTTGGAGGAGGAGTCGGCCCCAACATCTATCCTCTCCCTTCTCCTCAGCGCCGTCAGGATCGAACCTGCATCCTACGACGGACACTGACTGTTTGTTCACGAACATCAACACTATATATTAAAAGTATGATAATATATATATATATATATATATATATTATATATATATATATAATATATATAATATATATTATATATATATATATATATATTATATAATATTATATATTATATTATTTAATAATATTTTAGTTACACTATTAAACATATTAATAGTATATCTGTGGTTTTAATAAATATTATATTTTAGTAAGGAGGCATGTCATTAATTATTCTATTTAAATTATAGTAATTATCATAAAATAAAATATTAAAAAATGTTTGGAGAGTAAGAAGGGACAAATTTAGCAGATTAGGGGACGAGTAGAGTATGAATCTTTATAACAAATATGCATTAAGGAAGAAGGGTTAAAATGAAGGATTAATGTACTTAGCCTATTCGATAATCTGAAGAACATAATTATTAACCCGTTAAATAAGTTTTATTTTAGTCATTGTGATCAGTTTTAATATTTGGGATTAACAATGATTTTAACTATTTTCTTTATAATTAGAAGGAATAAATCTTAATTCTTCTAAATAGGAGTATTAGTAAACCCCTCATTTTGAGAGGTTAATTCATTTTAATCCCTCTAGAGTGGTTAGCTTAACCTTTCTATATTTTTTATGTTTGAAAAATTATGAAGAGTTAACTCACTTAAACCCCTGTATAGATTTTTGGTGTTTGGCGGGTTAAGAAGGGGTTAAGTCTCATTAACCTCTCACTTAACCATTTGACAAACGGTACCTTATGGGACAAGTAAGGTACGGATCTTCATAACAGATATGTACAACCAACGCCTGGCGAACTGAGGAGGAAGAAAAGAGTGCTCTTAAGTCGCACTTATATGACAAAACCGGCGGCAGAGTTAACACGCATGTATTTTATGCACGAGAGAGTGAAGGCGCCGAGGATTCTATCATCTCGACAGGTTGCTGCTGCTGCAACAAAGGGAGACGCTCAACAACTAACGCCTATTAGATTCTGTAGACATTAAAGTCCAGGCAACATCAACCGATATCTGTTTTCTCTAATAAATGGATAGAAACGAAAAACACACGACAGTTTGCCTTTGACCTGATTCGCCAACCATGCTATTAAGAAAACATAAACTTTGAGGTGTCATTTTTCAATCACCCAACTTATTCACATCTACTGTTGAGTCTCAGCTTCTGTTGTTCCTTCTTCAGTCTGGCGGCCTACACCTGATTGTGTAACTAGTCTCTCCACAGGAATCTTGAAAGCGTCCCCGCGAACACCAATATCAGACAGATAACGGCCAACTGAATACATGCTGCTGACAACCAATGCCAAGCCAGCAGGGTTCATTGCCAAGAAGCGGAGATGGGAAGAAGCAAGAGCACCGAAGCCAGCAGCGAAAGATGACAGCTGCCCGCTTCGCCCGCCACTGAAGGATGTCTTAATAAGCAGACCTGTCTTGCAGTATATGGCAAAATCCTCACAGTTGTTGTTGAAAATATTGTATGTACCAAATCCATTATTAAGCAGATAATTGGCACGATGAAGCACAGCATCCTGGGCATCTGAAGCAGCAAGAGTGCAGGTTCCACCTCGGGCTTTGGCAACAAAAAAAGCTGGCGATACCGCATAGTGGAAAAGATAGAGATGGCCTCCGTCAAGAAAGCAGTTGACGCACGAACGGATTACTCCGTGAAGCTCGCTCTGATCACCACATCTCTCACAAAGATTGCCCGTATTTGATGGAGAGGAGCTGAAAAGAAGCCGATCTAAGAAAGTCCCAGTTCCTGTCTCCTGACCAGCTGCTCGTGTGTAATGAATCACCATTCCGTCTCCAACATATATTCCTACCAGTAGCAGTGCATAAATTTCATAAGATCATACCGACAAGAAAACAAAGAAAAGATATTTTTTTCGTCTATATGCTAATAACTAAAATAAAAGTCTTCAAACCATGCCATCATGGTAAGACTACACAGTATCTGTGCTAGTGATCACAGGATAAGTTCAACATCAAAGAAATTGCAAGTTAAAGGAAAAACACATTCAAAAAAGAAAGAGCAGAAGAAAATATATTGTTATATTCATATAAAATATATGCATAGTAGTCATCATGTGTGGCTTTGGATAATGGCCACATCCAACACCTCGCATTAGAGTCACTCCTGCCCGTGCCTATAAATTGCAAGTATCTGATACCTTAAAATTTTCTCTGATGTGTCTAATATTCATTTCTTCAGAAAGTTGCTATGTACATTGTTATTCTCACATGTGTCGTATACATTATCAACATATGTATCTTTGCTTGTTGCATCTCTCCATTCAACTTGGAACAAGGTTTTGATAGTATTGACTCCATTATTTAGAAATTGGTATGACCTAATAGGATGAACCATGATCCGGCTCAAGTTGATTTTTTTAGCCCATTAGGATATTCAATCAGAGAATTCTGTCCCATATGAACTTGAAATTGTATGCCAAGTCCGTGGATAAGAAACATGTCTGTTCTGTAAAATTAAATAAACAATTTTGGGGTAGAAAGAGGGAATGTAAATAGAAGCATACAAAAGAAACATTAAACTTCACTGCAAAGAGAGAAACATTGAGGAACAAAGGGAAGGAAGAGAATGGAAGATACAAATTGTGACACCCCCACTTTAGTCCCACATGCACTAGTGTGAAGAAATGTTAGTGGTTTAAATAGAGAAAAACGCAAGACTCAAGAACAACTAGTGTTAGCATTTTGACAGTGGACTTTAGCCAACATCAAGTTGCTCTTGGTGCGTCCCACGGCTTGCACGCATCAACGGGCCTGTGGGCCCGATGTGTGACAAAATGATATCAGAGCAGTTGCCAGCCGGAAGTGTAGAGCTAAGTGCTATACGGAGCTAAGTACTGCACCGCATGGATACGGTGAGAGCTACCTCTAGAGCCCGTAGGAGCCACCTTTAGAATCCACATCGCCTAACAGTGACTGAGATGTGCCAATCATCATGTCGTGACGACGAGGACGTCGTCTTCATAAGGTGTGGTTTCACTTTAGTCCCACATGGACTAGTGTGAAAAAATGTTAGTGGTTTAAATAGAGAAAAGCCCAATGCCCAAGTATAACTAGCGCTAGCATTTTGACAGTGGACTTTAACCAACATCAAGTTGCTCTCGGTGGGTCCCACAACTTGTAAGCGTCAACGAGCCCATGGGCCCGGGGTGTGACACAAATCACTGAAGCAAAATAGAAACATGAAAACATGGGTAAAGGAACGGACGGGAGAACAATAGGAACATGAATAAGAAAACCCCAAGTTAAAAATTTTAGGGGACCTTAGACTATATATTAAATGCGAAAATTATCTAAAACTGACAGTTAATGACTTCGGAACTTCTTACACTCAACAAATATCAAGGGATGTCAAGTTTTACATGACCTGCTAACCTGACTGAACCAGATTTATATTTAGTAGGTTTGGGTTGGGTCAGGTCAGGTCTTAAACAAGTTCAGCTGATTGGGAAAATTTAAATACCAGGTTAGTTCGAGGTATGATGATTGACAACTCACACATAAATATATAGTCTTAAGTTTGTCTTATTGATAAGAATGGTAGACACTGGTTTCCAAAAACCTTTGACATGAAGGACACATGTGAATATCATATGATTTGGACAACTTTTTCAGATTAAGAGCATGTTTGGCAACTTTGGACTACAATCAACTTGGCATATAATCCACAAATAGCTTATAAGTCAAGTGGATTAAGTGTTTGATAAATTTAGTGGATTATAATCCATTTCCAATTGGTAGTGTTCGGCAAATAAGCGGCTTATAATCCATCCTTATTGTCAAAATGACCAAAAATGGATTGAAGACAGAGAAAGACGTTTTTGGAATTTTCTTAAATACTAAGGGTAAAGTGGTCTTTTACTTGGGTCAAACTATGTGGCTTATAAGCCACAAAAAACTAAGCTAGGCAACCCCAGCTTAATTTTTTGGCTTATAAATCAAAATAGACTGTTTGCCAAACATGTCTCATCAGCTTATAAGCCACAAGAGTGGCTTACAAGCTACTCTGACCAATTGCCAAACATGCCCTAAGTGTTATTCGAGAGACTAATTGAAAATATCCTCGAGTATTATATATTTTAAATGTTTGAAAATTGCCAAAAATATGGAACATAGAGAATACATGATAAAGTTTCTAAAATTTGCAACAAGACCTAGCAGACTATGTCTATGAGAGTACAATATTTCTTCATTTAATGAAATATTGGTAATTCATAAATGATATATATTTAATACAAAAGTAAACCCAGAAACCAATATCAACAACTAATCAAAAGAAAATTGTCGTCTCTAACTTCTATGTTTGCTGACGTTCAATGTCACAGAAGCGCTAGGCGGCATAGGCGTTGTGCCTAACGCCTAAGCGCCTAGGAGGGAGCCTAGGCGAAGCCTGCACTGGAGCCTAGGCAGTCCTAGTTTTTATGTTTTTAAGTATATTAACTGACAATAAATGTCAGTGTTATAGAAAGCTTAGGCACCGTACTGGCTCTTAAACAGATTTCTTTCAAGTAGTGATGAATGCGGTTTTGCTGATGATCGACGGAGGTAGAGAAGATGTTCATAGCTAGAGGAGTTTGGACGACGTGCAGGCTCCAACGGAGAAAATCACGATCAAGACCTAAAGGGAGTAGTCCACGTAGGCAGACCATGCTCACCTAGGCGCTCCCAAAACCTAGGTGGGCAACATAGGTACCGCCTAGGCACTAAGCGAACGCCCTAAGTACCGCATATGCCTAGACAGGTAGCCTGGGTACCGCCTACGCCTAGGCGGACGCTTTCTAAAACATTACTTATGTTAATTGGTTAAATGGCACGTACTATTTACTTCCATAATTGCTCATTACTTTGAAGATTAGAGACCAACAAAACCCATCTCGAGCAGGAGAGAACGGGAATGAAAATAAATGAAATAAAGAAGGTACAAAAAATACACCTCTTGCAGTGATGCTAGCACACTACCCCAAGAAGGGATGGAGAAAAGGTATCACCATTTAGACTGAGTAAGATTGGGTCCATTACATGAGGAGTTCACTTAATTGGTTTAATTGGACCCATTAGTTTTAGTTGAAATTCGTAATAGGTTGGGTTTAAGAACGGAAAAAGATAATGCATAAGTGCTCTTGTAAATGGATGCGCATGTGCATAACTAGAACACTAGTGACAATACAACTTGTTCGCATGGTGGAAATAGATAACTCTTGCTTGATGGAGTGGCTACTCGTGATTGCCAAAGCAATTATTTAAGCTTTATTCTCCGATCTAGAAAGTTAAAATGATCATGTCACCGTCGATGTAAGGTTCCCTATGCGGAGATATTCCAATTTGATCTCCCAGGCTTGTTGAAAGGGGTACAAAGGCTATGAGATAAAGCATAAATCTTTTTCTTTCAAGAGATGGGAAATGTAAAGAGCTGCAATGTGATATATAAGCTTGTTACATAATTTGGATATTTTCCATATAAAAAAAATATATACAATTTGGATCTACTTAACTAAGAGATAGCAGAGTACGAACGTTAACACAACGATGGCGTTAACTGACGAGAAGCTAGCATGGACAGTTCAAATATGATGTCATGTGTCGACCACATGTTCGACGCATACGGTATGCATACACGATGGGCATGATACTTATATCCTCTATGTGCCTTTAAGATATAGTGCATGTTGATGTGTCATTTTAGCAAGCGGTTCGCATTTAATACTTTCTGTAGATGGCCAAAGTGAAGGGAAGAACAATGAGGTAGGAATTGGATCCGAAGATTTGGGTCCAACCCATTACGTAAGCTTAAACCCCGATCTCTAATCACTTTATCTTTCTTCCTCTCTGTCTCCTCCTCCGTCTCTTCTCTTGCACCAATGAAACTCCATAGCAAAAACTATCAAGCGTCACCATTAATGAGATTTGTTGGTGATCCATTGCAACAAGAGTTACACACTTGTACGGTTGGATTGTTACTTGAAAAAAGTTCATAGCAGTTTGGATGCTAACTATACTCTGTTTCATAACCTACACAGTTCGGATTACTATGACAATAAAACAAATTCAAAAAGATAAAAAAAAATAAGAGGGGAGGGGGGTGTCAGGGATACCGTGGTGGGCATAGAGGTAGGCGGTCCTCCAAGAATAGATGTGATCCCCAGGCTTCAGCTCTTTTTCGTCGATCATGTTTGACAGCACTCCCATCTCTCTCTCTCTACCGATCAATTGATCTTTAATTAGACAGAGAAAGACAAGGAGCCAATAACCCTCACTGTATATTAGGGAAACGAAAGGAAGAGAAGAGGGCACCGCTCGTTCTCTAGGGTTCGTCTTTTCCAATTAATTTTGACACACATTACCAATTACAACTACGATTTTGGGGTGCGTGGGTGTGTATGTGTGGGGTGGGGGTTTTTTTTTTTCCACTCCAAGAGATTTGGGGTCCAACTATTCACACTCCCAAACAGTAACTTTGGGGGGTGAGTGAGGACTAAATTGCCCTTCTCCCAAATCAAAACAGGCCAAGTCTCAAAGGGCATTTTCGGCAATCCAACTCCCAAAATTACTGTTTGGGAGTGGATATAGCAAACATGGAGATTTGGTGAACGTTTCCCTCCTCTCCTTCGCTGATACGCTCCCTCACCTCCTACCCCCAAAAATCAAATCCCCAATTACGCAAATATCCTTTATTTATTTATTTATTTATTTATTTATTTATTTATTTATTTATTTATTAGTATTTTTTTATCTTGCTAATGATACACGTCACCACCATCCTAAATTTAAAAGTAACGAATTATCCAAAAAAAATTAAGGGTGTGTTTGGTTGCTTGCAAGTACATTTCCAATGCAATTCCCAGTTGCATGTAGTTGCAACTGCTTTTGCTTGCAACTAGAGTTGCAACTGTTTGGTACAACTTAAAATCTTGCAACTTGTATTTGTAAGCATAGTTGCAGCTGTTTGTTTGTATTTGCAGCTTCCTAGTTACAATCTGTTTTCACTTGCAATAATATACAAAATATATAGACATAAATCATTTAAAATAGAAGAAGATTTACATTTGAGATAAGTAAACAAATATTTGTTCTGCTAGTACAACTCAGCAAAATCATGTAAGCTCACATAATATTGGACATCGTGTAACAGTGATAGATGAAGTATTTCACATTCATTCAGATGTCTAACCGCGAAGGTTCAACCTCTATACATTGTTATATTGAAACTCAAGGGAATAAAAATCGATCTCAAATGAACAACACCTCCATATGTCAACAAAACAAGAAACCAATAGTAATTACAGACCATCAACTAAAACATGGGACATATGGAAATACACCAATGAAGGAAGCAAGGCTCTCAGCAAAATAATTTCATACACAGATCTAACCAGATGCTTGAAAATCCCCAAAGTCATCTTCTACTATTTTGAAAAATGATGAGATTTCTCAAATGAGAGAGGTGATTTTTAAAAAACCAGTTTTTGTAATATGTGTATTATCATGTCTACAATCATTTCCCAAAGTTTCATAATTTTTGGAATTTGTTTGCTATCTTTAAAGACAGTTTAAAAATCAGATTTACTGTTTTAATCAGGCTGATACAGTGTTATCAGTCGACTAATACATGTGTTCAGTTGATTGAAGAAATCACCTGGAATAACAAAAATTTCTGTTTTGTTTTGGTCGACTGACATCATTCGACTGATAAGGTCCGTCAGTCGACTGATGAGCTAGAAAATACCTCTAACGTTCAGCTCATTAGTCGACTGATGAAAGCCGTCAGTCGACTGATACTGTAACGACTAGTTTTTTCAGCCTTTTACAGATTTAGATTTTTGGTCTTTTTGCTTTGTTTTTTCTTGTGTTTTGAGGTCTCTATAAATACCCCTCATACCTCAGACCAAAAATTAATAAGAAAAAAGTTTTAAAATAAGTTTAAAGGGTGTTTAAGTTTGTTTTAGTGTTTGTTTCAAGTTTAGTTTGTAAAGCAATTTTCACAAGAGCAAAGTGAAGATCATCCATTGGTGTTTGAGCATTCAACTCTTCTTCCTCTCTCTTGTTACCATAGAGAAGTTTTCCTAAACTCTATTTCTAGCTATTTATTGTTTTGTTCATAATTTCCATAAGCTAGATTTAAATTGAGTTTAGTTTGATTTTGTTTTATCAAATCTCATTGTTACACACACCCACTTGAGCTTTTAGTATTTTCATACATAGTATAATTTGGGGTGTGAGAGATTGTAACATTGAGTTGTGCTTAATTGAGTTCTCCCGTTATTTAGAGAACAATCATTTGTTGAGTGCCTAAATTATGAGGTTCACTTTGCATTACACTAGTACACCAAGAGGAGTGTGTGGTGAGAGACGGGGTCATCCCAAGAGGAGTGAGTAGGTGGTAATGCCTAGAGAGAGGTTGTAATTCCTAACACTTGAGGGAGATATGGGCTAAAGACCAACACTTGAGGTGATAGTTAGTATAGTTACATTGTGAGTGATTGTAAAGTTTTCAGTGAACTAGAAAACCGAGTGTGAGGTGTAAACGTTATTCGGGTGAGCGTAGAAAACCTTGTTGTAATAGTGGAGATCTCATCGAGGTGAGGAGCGGAGACGTAGGTCGTGGGGACCGAACTCCGTGATCATATCGTTTGTTTGCGTTTGTCATTGGCGTACTTACTTTTATGTTCATATCTTATATCGCCTTTGTATATTTCTTGTTGTTTATCTTGCCCACTATCTAGTTCAGATTGTTTATCATTGTGTTATTTGTATATCCTTGCACGTATATTGTTCATATCTCATTTGTTAGGATATATTTGTTAATAAGTTTTTTATTTGGCATTAAATCGGATTAGATTAGCATAAACCCTATTCACCTCCCTCTAGGGTTCTTTCTTAATGGCATTAGGGTACTTTCAAATTTAAGAATAAAACAAAGGATTAGTCTGGAAGCCAAAGTGAAAAAGTTGCGCTGTTAATTTAGACAACAAGTTGGTAAGCTACTTACGAGTAGTACATTAAGATCTTAAGTTTGACCCCCTTCAAGTTTGACTCTCTTGAAGAGCATGTACTCATAGAAAATTAAGTTTCTAGAATATTCGAAGTTGTGCGTTAAGGGGTGCCCCTTAGCCTTGCCAGGGATTTGACACCAATGATTTGAAAGATCGTGGGGAAGTTCCCTCATCAAATTATTATTATTATTATTATTATTATTATTATTATGCAGACAACGAGTTGAGATGATTCGAAGGTAAAGAGCTGAGGTAAAGAATTGAGTTACCTCTTAACGCATTAACGGATGGCAAACTAATGACCATTGTTGTAACAGCCTGCCAGTGTGCAGGTGAAAATTAAATTATCTGGCTAAACCACGGATCAGACTAGCATAGAAAGATACGTGGATCACAGAGAGACAGAGAAAGACTACTTACGAGCACTAGTTGATCATGTACCGGAGGATTATATATGTGTGTACGAAAAATTAATGAATTAATTAAGTAGGTGATAGTTTGAGTTGTAATAATTCCTGGAGGTAAAATCAAAAGCAAAAGAATCCCATGGAAGAGCCTGATCCTCATCAAAAGGTAAGGAAGAAGACGACCAAATGAACCCCGCATCTTCAGCAGGCAACTGGCTGCTGCTGCAGTCGCACGATGCCACCACCATCTGATGATCAGAAAGACTACCATCGCCACTCGCTGCGACAATGATATCATGATGATCCTGATCCGTGGCCGGCGTCTTCCCCTTATTTATTATGCTAGCGGCCACCGTGTCGGTGCTGTTTACGTGATGATGATGACGATGATGATCTAACGGCGCCTGCACATCTAAACCTACGGTACCTTCTGACGAGCACCATCCATGATCATCTGAGCACGCTGATGGCACTGTGCTACTCATGCTACTTCTGCTGCTACTGTCTCCTCCTAAATAAAATGCCTGGAGGTTTCCTGGAATTTCGCTGCCAGCTGGACTGCCGAACCCTCTGAAATTAGGTTCAGACTGAATTACAGGAGCTTGCAGCAGCCGGATGTTGACGACGATGCTGCCGGCAGCCTGGTATTACCCCATCCCGTCTGGCTTCTTGACGATTAGGGTACTCATGAAGCCTTGTACATCATTCTCGACTCCAAGCTGTCAAAGGCCTAAACTACCACCGCCAGTCCCCAGCGCTGCTCCTGTTCATCATTCCGTTCCAAGCTGACTGCATCATGAGCCCCGATGCGGGCTGCTGCCTCTTAAACTTGGTCAGCCAGCACGCAATCAAAGAGGCCAACGTTGGCTGCAGGAGCCCTTCCAAGAGGCAACTCACCGTCTTCCATCGAGAAGCTTAGCCTTGAGCAGGCCAATCAGCCTTCCTTAGCTTGCCTCCATTTCAAACGAGAGGGAGTCATGTTCTCCAAATTAGTATCTTTTGCGGCGTGCCATCGTCGGTTCCTCCGGATGAGGGGTGCGGCGGCGTCGAAGTTGGTGCGACGCGTTGGCTCTCTTAAGAGTACGGGCAGCATCCTCGTATGCTCTGCCGGGCGCCTCAGCAGTGTCGAAAGTACCCAGCCACAGCCTCACCTTTTGCAGGGAGTCCTTTATCTCAGCCACCCACCTCCCTGACGGCCTTTGCCGAACGCCGATAAATCTCTTTGGATCTCTCGGTCCCTTCCTTCTCTCGGCCTTCTGATCTCCACCAGCAGGTAGAACCCCCATATTCACCACTAATTGTTACCACTAACTTAATCTCTACTCCACCCTTATCTTAATATTTATACATATGTATATATAATTAACCACCTAATACTAATTCCGAACTACGTACGAACATAAAAATGAATGAGTAATTAATACTCATAATAACCAAGCAAGCATAGATCGATGTGGAGAGGAAGTTGAAGAGATGAGAATGTAATTAAAGCTATAGGGAATGTTATAATAATAAGAGTCCATTCATCAAAGACAATATTAATATATATATATAATTAGCTATAACACAATTGATCGAGTACTAATGAATTGATCAGAGAGTAATTAATGACGAATGAAGACAAATTAAGGGGAGAAGGAGGGGATGGGATGGGATACTCCTAGCTACCACATATATTTACAGCCCCCGGCCATTTATAAAAATGGGTACTAATTGATGCAGGCTGAGGCTGCTTTGATATTATCTGAAGATGTAGCTAATTAGTATATAAAACAAGGGAGGGAGGGAGCCCGCTGACGTACTTTGGACGCTGACGGAGGGACAAAACTAATTAACAAACTGATCAGAAGATTAAAGTTAAACAACAAGGACAAGCAAGCGAGACCAGCTTTTGGCGGGCTTAATTCGTCTTTCTCTCTTGTCGTTTAAATTTTTAAATTAACAAATTAAGCAATTAATTTGGACCTTCTTTTCCCCTAGTAACAAAGCAATTTGGAAGTTTGGGTAGTTGGTCTGCAGAAAATACAAAAAAAAAAAAGTAATATATAAATCTATAGGAAATGTATACGTACATATGTATTACCGCAGGTATAACCGTGATTTTTTCCTTTGGAATTACCGCCAGGATTCGTCACTGTTCCCGCCCCCCTGGATAGTTGAAACAAGAGCAAAAACAATAACTAATGAATTAAGGTCAACCCTGCGGTTCTATATATCGATCTCTCTGATCCCTTATGCCCTCTGTACGTGTCGATCTCCTTCCTCCTAATTGTCTGCGCGCAAATGTAAATGAAGGTTTGGCAGTTATCTATGTTGGTTGGACTGTGGCCCAGCAGCCTAGCCTGGTTTAATCTCCGTCCAAATATCAGCAATCCTCAACACCAGTCTTGTACCTGTCATATAGTAGAAGCGCGCGTGCGATTGGATTACATGCCATGACAAGGCTTAACTTCCAAAGCAACATGTGGCATCAACTGATCATAGATCGAGACATAATCTATGCGGATTAGATTCAATATATATGATTGTTGCCATACTGGCATTGTACTTTATATATAGGATTACTGTGTACGTATATTGTGTATTACATGAAACGCAAACAACAAATTAAATATGGATGCAGCTTAGAAATTAGCTTTAAGCTGAGATGATGCTACATATATACATAGGCCAGCTGTTCATAAAAGTTAGTTTGGTTTCTCCGTGTCCACAGTCTGTCTCACAGTTAAGAGGTCTCAGCAGATTCACGTACACGTGTCTATGCATACCGCCCAGCGACTTCAGAAAATTAACAGCAGATGGATTCCACAAATGTACTATATATCATATTGTCTGCGAGAACCTGCAAGTAGGTAGGGAGATTGCATGGGACTACTAGACAGGGATATTGGAAGTTTCCGTTAGTAATTAGCGCAGGCACCAATTTCATGCAGTCTTACCAAAGAAATTAACTGTGTAATCAGTCTCAAGCTTTGTATACAATTGGGTCAGGATTTTATCCGTTATTTCTTGCAAGCCGGCAATTATGCGCACACACCGTACAAGATGTCGGATCAACATACATATGTATACACACACAGCAAATAACGGAGGAAAATAATGCACTTAATAAACGTTTGGCTGCGGTGTCAATATCCAAACCGAGTGGAGAAAGATGAAACTAATATATCCGGTCGGTTATTGTAATTATGGGAGACCAGGTCACACCTCATAGAATCTAGATTCCCATGGGCAAGAAGGGTTCTGTCCACACAGCCTGAAAGCGGACAGCAGATGAGCTCTTAAATGATTAGAAGAAACTGATATTCCTGGTTTAAAGTACAAAATTGACTTATTCGTGATAACTAAAAGAAATGGCAGAACAAACTAAAGAACTTTGTATTCACAAGGATATATATCTCTACTGCCGATCAGTTCGCATACTTCCAAGCCAAATCTAGCAGTACATTTGCAGCTGTGACAGTTAGCATTACTATGTACTCAGTTTATGCGCTGTTACATTTTCATGAATCATTCTTTTGAAGCATTATACATTTTTAGATATCTCTCTAGATTGTCACATTCGTCGTCTGCAACTTCTAGATCTGACATCACCCCCACTTTTGTATATTCTGAAGCAAGGCACGGAGCTAACAAGTTCCGATTTTGCAAGCCTCGGGCTTTCATTCATTTTTGACCTGTAGACAGTCAAAACCAAGAAAATAAGAACTATTTTTCTTGTTTGTGAAATATTGAAATTTCAGACATAACTGCATTTTTAAAAACAGTTCAATTCAAGGTGGTGATGTGCAAAGCAGCTTGTAGGAAACACAAGATGAACGCTGCCAACGACAGAGTTCATAGCAAACAGTCAAAATATAACTAAATGTGGCAGGTGGAGAATTGACAAAAAAGTTTAGTCTATAGCTTAACCAGATTCATTAAAGATGTTAATGCTATGATGAACACTAGATTTTTCTCTGTGTACGTACTTAACCTAAAAACTCTTTAATTAAATCTGATGTAAAAACCTAGAATCCTAGTTCATGTGAAGGAGATCATAATCCAATGCTTAAAATGGTGACTTGGCCTCCTTCCTAAATCTTGTATTGATACATCTCAAAAGCAGTCAACAAAACCAGTTTGAATCAGACAAAAGGACTTTTGTGGAGAAACCAAAAGTTAGTAATTGAACAATCTTAGGCAAGGGCATGTGACTGTATGTCAAGAAAACTCTACCAAACAAGGTAGAAAATGAAAAATTGTCAGGACACTAAATAATTATGTTAGTAAGATACAGTTACTCATCAAAACTCTTCCTTCTCTCTCAAAGGGTCCCTCCCTTATAATTCAGCCACTACATAAATCTTTGATATATTTATTTAAAGGTTATTTCGGTGTTAGTCCCCCAAATCTCTAGTATTTTGATATTAGTCCCTCAAACAGTTGTAGTTAATATTAGGTCCCCCAAATCCTCTAGATATTTTGAAATAAGATGCATAATTTGTATCCCTTACACCTTCACCTTGCTTCTTCCTGAGTTGGGTCTGAGCCTCGTGTAGTGCCTTCTTGACCTCCTCATCTTCTGGAATTTCAACAAGCAGTGCTTCGTAGTCCTTTATTGATGCTTCCCATTCCTCCAACTAATGAAACATTTAAGAACAAGATTTAGTCCATGTTCTTGTTTATGGCCCTAGGATTTCTTGATTGTGCCAAACACCAAAGGATCATGAAGGGTCGTCACCTTAGCATAACAGTCAGCTCTCCTTAGACGAGCTTTGGTGTAAGAAGGGCGCATGTTAAGAGCAACATTGCAGTCCTTAATGGCTTTTTCCCACTGGCCAAGCTTTGAATGACAAGCGGCTCTGTTGCACATCAAAATTGCATTGTTGGTATCATGGTTGAGGCCTTCTCCGTATGCAACACATGCCTCTTCGAACTTGGAGGCTTTGAAAAAATCATTGCCTGTTGCTCGAGCTGTTGCAACTACACGAGCCTTCCTGGCTACACCGCCTGCCTCCCCACTGCTTGTGTCAAGCCGGGCAGCTCTGTTCGCCATAGAAAGTGCATCCTCAAACCTGTTAACCAATGAATTTTTTTTTCATTTAAGAAAATCAGTTAAAAACAATCAATCAATGTATCAGTACAACTGATAAAAACATATTATAAGTTTACAACCGATTGTTTATACATCGTGTATGATGTGGATATGAAACACTAACCTTCCTGCAGTCATATCAACCTGTGCTCGTACCATGAGCGTAAATGCACTTTTCATAGCGCCAAAAAGCTTTGTAGAAGCATCAATGTCAAATCTTGGGGCGCTATTTAGTGCTGTCTCTGCTTCTTCATGTTTATGGAGCATTAGGAGGGCCTCTGCTTTGAAGGAAAAAACCTTCAAGATATAATTACGAAGACAGAAACATTTAGGGAATGTAAGGAAAAATAACATCATGGACAATCGAAGGTTCTTCTACGAAATATATAAACACCGTGTCAAAATATATAATCAAGAATTTTCTTGATTGTAAGTTAAAAGCCATCCACACAACAAGGGAGGGAGAGAAGGCAGGAGGGGAGAAGGACCATAAATTTGGAAGTATCCAAAACTAACGAAAACGAAGTGCTAGGAGAAAGAGGGAGAGAACCTGCGGAGATGAATCAGCACCAGAGGAGACAGCCAACTGGGTTTCTTTCACCACTGAATGCCAATCCTTTAATCTTCTTGCTTCGCTACACTTCGAGAGATGCGTTTGGAGAGCCTGCGCTCGTGAAATGTCAGCAGAGCTGGCTTCATTTCTTGATAGCTTGTAGTGATGAAGTGCTCTCTCAGCTTCGCCCAACCTAACAATGTACGTGACACGTTTCAGCTGAACGTAGAAAGGACGTATGTAATCCATGGGTAGTGAATCAGTAAAACGTCAAATAAAGTTTGTCATGTTCCTCGTTACTTTAGGAGGCATCTGCGAACATTCGATGGACATGATTCTTGTCTTGGAAATTAAAAGAGCCACTATGAGAAACATCAAAGAGGAAGTAAGAGAAATTAAAAGACCCAAGCGTCAGACATTATAACCAATGAAGCTGTACTCGTTTATATCTCAAGACAAAAAGGTGGCAAGAAAAGATAATTAGGCATAAAATAAAGAAATAAATAGATAAAAACAGGACAACTAAGCTGAAATATTTATCATATGTTTAGAATTCAAAGACGGTAACCTACAGTGTTACCTGAGATATAGAGTGCCCAAACGAAGGTGCGCCTTATGATAAGAAGGTTCTAGTCTGACAGCTTCTCTGCACTCAGCAACAGCCTCAATAAGCTTACCGAGACCTGTAAGAGCTGCAGCCTTATTGCTCCAGTAGGATGCTTTCTCAGGATCAATCAATATAGCCCGATCATACAGAGCCAATGCCTCCGCAAAATTCCCTTGCTTGAACTCCTCATTACCCATTCTCTTCAGCTCTTCAGAGTCGAGCCTTCTTGATAGAGCTCTGCACATCGCACCAGAAACTTCGGGTTCATCGCCGTCCTCAGGCTTTGCTGACGGACAATTGGTCGCTTGAGCATGCTGCTTCCTGTTGGGGGCATTGAGATTGGAATTCGTCTCTTTGGCGGTTTTGGGCAGGTGATCCTGCACGTTGTGGCTGGGGGTGA